GGTTGACTGCCCAGCGCCTGCCCAGGCAGCTTGGTGGGACAGCGGATTTACAAAGTGTTTCTCAGGCAGATCCTTATTTCTCACCCCATCAAGTGGAGTCTTTTAAATGGTTATTTTCCTTATTATAAAAGTTATGTAGAGTCGGAGGGTACAAACTCCCAATTATAAAATAATCAGGTCAAGGGCATGTAGTGTACAGCATTGTCTGCGACCTGTTATTTCCTTTGTGTGTGACCTGCTGGTTCTCTCCAGACGTGTTAGTGGTGTTTTTAAACCCCCAGTTTGGTGGGATTCTCTGCTGATTTGCTTCAGGATAGGACTTTTTGGTTTAAGGGGGTAGATCATTCAGGACCCCTTTAATATGGAGGCTCGATTCTCTTCTGTTTTTTATTGCTCTTTCTGGAGAGGTTGCTGGTTGGATGCTGTATTGGTTCTATAGTTTATCTCATCTTCGTATTTTACTTTCTGGAAGAATTCCTTCATTTTCTCTTCCAGTATTTTATTTTTTTAATTTTCAAATTTTACCTATAACTTTTTTGATTTCTAGGCTCTTTATAGTCTTAAGCTGTTCCTTTTAAGACCATTTCCACGCCGTTCCACTCTGGTTTTGTGGCTGCCATATGCTCCCTCATCCCTCAGAGGATGTTCATTATGGATTTCGCTGTTCGTTCAGTAGCTTTCATTGTTTCCTCGCGTCACCTGTGCCACCTGACTCCCCCCAGTGCCTGCTGAGTCTTCCTTGTCAGTTTGTATTTAAGAGTGAGGTGGTACCTCCTGGCGTTGGAGCCCCGTGGGTGGGGGTGGGGTGGGGGGACACAGGGGGTGCTGCAGGGACGGGCTTCTGTGACAGGAGACCCCCAGGGTCTGCGTGTGGTGGTCTACTTGCCTGCACTCCTTCGTTTCTCCGGGGACGAATCCCTCATTATCCAGGGTGTAGGGGGTGCGACGCCTGCCGAGGCGAGCCTGGGGGTGGCAGGGGAGGGGGACCCACCACTCAGGGTGCATTGTTAGCCCCCCTGTTTTCACTCTGAGATTTTACTTCCTCCTCAGCTCCTTCCTCACCCAGCAAGCTGTGTTTTGGAGTCCTGGGTCTTACTGGATTCGTTTCTCCAGCAAATACATCCGAAATGAGGGCAGGGGTCTGGGAGTCTAATTACCACTTTGTATAGAGGCCTGTTTCAGCCCAAGCTCACACCCGCCGCCCCCACGCCCTCCACCCTCATCCCCACTGGTGTCTGGTGGCTCTGGGCCCTGGAGCTCGGCGAGGTCCTGCCAGACCCTTAGGTGCCAACTCCTCCACTGTGCTCAGTCCGCTCCTTCCACTTCCCACACCTGCAGAGGCAGGTGGCACCCTCCGGTGTTGGGCTCCTCGTTTAGCGGGTCCGTACTTCCTTCACTTGGCTGTCACTTTAGCAGAGAAGAGAGAAACCCACCTGCTCCTCCTCAGAGGCAGCTCCAGTATTCAGGCAGGTGCTAGAACAAGAGAGAGGGAGGGTGTGAGTGTGAGTGTGTGCATGTGAGAGAGTGTGTGTGCATGTGAATATGCATGTGTGTGAGTGTGAGTGAATGTGCATGCGTGCAAGTGCCTGTGTTTCTGTGTGAGTGTGTGTGTGTGCGAAGCCCTGTGACGGACACTGTGGAGGCACTGCAGTCAGCGGTGTCACTGATCACACTCTAGTCATTTGGGGGACAAGGCAGGACACAGACACAGTGGTCAAAAGGTTAAGCAGCCTGATTGTTGGAACGTGTGAATGCCAGAGAGCAAATCCTAGAAATTCCGTGTTTACAAATGCTTCCCTTACTTGGGTAGCTGACACGGCCTGGGGCTTGTCACACTCGGTTCCTGGCTGAATGGCCACTGCGTTCAGTGGTTCGCTCAGCAAACTTAGATCACGGCCACACCAGGCGCCCGGCCAGTGCAGAGGGTGAATGGTAATCAGGGTAGGCGCCGTCCCTGTGCACGGCAGGGGCGGGCAAATGTGATCGCACATGTATGTCATTTGTCGTGGAAGACTGAGCTCCGGGAGGTGGGGAGGGGACCCCCGGGGACTGGAGGTCGGAGCTGAGTTCCGATGCGACAGTTCCGGACTTTTCCAGTCCCAGCGTAGCACGGCATTGCTTTTGCTATTTGGTTCGATGCTTGTCCTCATTTTCAGTCTGGACGTGTTAGCACAGGCTTTGTGGGCGCTCCCCGGTGAACACTGAGGCAGGCACTCTGCACACTCACGGGCCCATCCAACTTCTCTGTGCTTGGGGGAGGCCTCTTCCCCACAAACACACATGCAGTTCCCGTCTCAGGAGCCAGAGGCCAGCTGCCGAGTTCATAGGGTCAGAGTTTAGACGTGAACTTATGCAGGGGCGCCCCGTGCTGATGCCTGCCTTCCCCGTAATTTATCTTGTAGGTCGTTAGCTCGTCTTAGCTCATCTACCTGGGGTTGGGAAGAAGTTAGGTTAGAAAGCACCTCACGTGACCTGATTGGAAAGAAGTTTCTCAGTTGAATCGCTGTGGAGAAGGCAAGGCCGGCAGCGTCCAGCCCCCAACACCAAGGCCTCTTCTGGTGAGGCAGACCTGGGCCTTCTCACTGTGGCTCCTGCTCACGGAGCCGTGGCCCCTGCATGGGTCCAGCTCACGTGGCCCAGGATCCGGTGTCTCTGCATTCTGCCCAGGACACCCCCACCCCGGCTTCCCCTTGACGGGGGTTGGAGGACATCACACATTTTTACTTCACTGCAGACGAGTTGTACACTCAGGGCAAGGCTGGAGCTCCGGTTTGGTTGCCCGAGCGTGATGTTCCTCAGCTCGGGTCGGAGACGGTAGCTCCCAGGAGGCGGAAGGGGGCCTGCCGCCCGAGACAGGCCTGCACTCGCCTCTTTATCACGCCGAGGTGTCTTCTCACTCAGAAAAAGAAAAACACTAGCAGTGGTGCGAGGCGGGAATCATCCTTTTCAAACCCTGGAAACAATCGCCTTGATGTAGGGAGCACACCCCGCTCCACGGACTCTCCAAATGTACGGGAGAGCCCACTGGCCTCCCTTCCTTTCCGGCGGGAGAATGGACACAGCTTTCTTCCTCCCGAGGCCCCAGCCTGCGGTTCCACACACTTCGAGTGTCCTGCAGACTGACTTTTTAAAATATTTTTTAAATGATGCATTTATTATAGAGAAGCCAAGTAGGCGTCCTTACTTCTTTGTTCCTGTGCATTTTTTATTTTCCCGTTTCAGTGGTCCTGAAATGGGGATGCCCCTTAAAAGAGATTTGTATATTTTGATATGATACTATTCCCTTTTTTTTTTCTTCAAGGGGTGTTTATTAAATACAGGGGTGATTCCCAAATGACTACACCCTAGAACTGAGGAAGGACAGAAAAGTAGAGTTTGGGCAACAAAAAATCCTCTAATACGTGGGACCCGAGGGAGAAGACAAAAGACAGGGATCCTTGGTGGTGAGGAGCCGGGGCCACTGCCTAAAATGCCGAGTTTTTCAAGAAACTTTACGGACGACCATCATGGGAAAAATGCCGACGCTGCCTCACCCCGTACCCCCACGCTGCTGTCTGTGGGGATGACGTACTTGGGGCGACCCGCTCCTCAGAGGATCCCCACGCCACTCCTGCCGTGTAGTTGCACATTTAGCAGGAGCGCCTCTCTTCTCCCTTTGTAGCATTTGCTCATTAACAATTCCTGGGTTTGGGAAAAGAAGCGCATTTTTCTTTTGCCTTGTGGCCAGTGGGCTGTTCTCGCGCAGCCTCAGCGAATGTGGCCGTGGGGGGTCTGGGAATGTCCTCGTGGAGTCTCCCTGCCCCCACACGCCCCCAGCCTGGGTACGTGACAGAGGCCACTGTTGTACCCCGTGAGCATGTTCACGGGTTGGGGCTGACTCAGGCAGTTTTGGGGAGTGAAGAATGGAGATGATTTCAGCAGTTTGTCGGCACAGCAGGGAGCTCGTCAGATCAAGGACTGCACCCCAAGCCAGCACCTCACAGGGACAGGCAGGGCTCCAGGTGCATCCCCAGTGGGACGCGGCTCCCCGAGCCTTCCCTGAGTGCCCCTCAGGGTGCCCGCCACGGTGCTAGAGGCTGATGGACCCTCTGGCAGGACGCTGGGAGTGCTTTCATGGTGGGGGCGGGGGGCGCTGTCCGTGTGAGAGCAGGCCCAGCCCTGATGGGCCACTCAGAGCACAGTCTGGAAGCATTGGCAGGAGCACTGTCGCGTCCGGCCTTTTCTGTCCTCCCCTAGTCTCGGGGTAAACTCTCCCCCACAACTGGGGGCCTTCACGCTCACCCCCACTTTGCAGTTCGGTCCACGGGTCCTGCAGGCCCAAATCAAGGCTGGCTGCCTCCTTGAGCTCTTCTTCGAGGAAAACGTCTACATCTGTACACGAGAAAATCCTTCCTAGTGAGACTGTACACCAGGCACTGGATCGTCCTTATTTTGCTACAATGATGCAGTTTCTGACCTTGAATGCCCCTTGCAGAGCTTGTACCAAGAAGACACAGGGAGGAGGGAATTTTCCCAACAGCTGCCCCCTGTCGCTAGTAGACTCCCATTGGCAGGAGCACCCTGCTGGCCCCAGGGTCCTGGAGCGGGGGCCCAGCCCGTGTCCCCAGCACCGTGCCCCTCTCCAGTGGAATTTCACACCCCCTTGGAATTTTTCCTGCCCCCCTGCCGTCCCCCGAGTGTGCAGTAATGAGCAACTTAATGTGCTGACTTCTCCAATCCCTCCTTGGTCCGCACAACAAAAGTTGCTCTTTTCTCATTAGAACCATTTTTGTCAGGGTGTCTTTAATCAAGGGCTTCCCTGGGGACCATATTTTTAGAAGTTGTATTCTTCACATGCTCCCTTTTCCCCTCTTGGAAAATCTCTTCCCGGGGCCTAGTGAAATGAGCTAATGAGATGCCAGGAGGGTTCGGGCCGGTGTTGATTGGCACACGTACGAAGCTCGCACGCACCTTCGGTGCCATCCTGCCTCACCTGCGGTCCTTCTGTCTCTCTGGTGCAGGTTGCACAGACGGCAGATGGTGTGGATGCTGACCTCTGGAAAGACGGCTTATTTAAATCCAAGGTTACCAGATACCTGTGTTTTACAAGATCCTTTTCCAAAGAAAATGTAAGTCCAGTAGTGCTTTTCCTTTTGCTGAGTGAGCACAAGCTGCTTACATTCCTGTTTGAAATGTCCTCATGTGTTTTGTTGTGGTTTATTTTCATCGCCATGTTAATTTATCTGTGGTTTTGGCGAACTGGGTAGAACCAGCAGCTAGCGCTGGGCTTCACTGATTAGCAGTATTATTAACCCTGTACCCAGGTGCGCTGTGAATTCCGTCAATGTGCGTCCTCGGAAGGAAGCCAGGAAATTTCTCTCGCAGCGCTTGTTTGCCCACCTTTCTTCCGAGTAGCAAATCGCAGGTAGTGTGGACCTGAGAACTTTCCAGTGGCGCTGGATTTAAAGCCACCTCACCAATGGAGGCCCAGCCAGAAAGGTGCTGCACGGTCACCCCTCTGCACAGACACAGCCCTGTCTCCAAAATGACTCCCGCCCTCTGCGTCTCTCTGACAGAGGACGTTTCCTTGTTTCTGCAGGTGGGTAGCCAGCAAGCGTAGACGTCTTTTTAGTATGCAGTTTCTCATACTCAGGCCCATAAAGCAGGACGTTTTTCAAGATATCTACTGAAGCTTCTCCACTAGTGTTTTAATGGATGGCTTGAAAAAAGGGGGATATAGCTTTCCCCCAAATACCTGCTTTGTTCGGGGCCTGCCCGAGCCGCCCCGCGGATGTGCCACTTCCGTCCCAGGATCCTCTCCTGAGCACTGGCCCCTTCCTGACGTCAGAGGGCTGGGGGGCTTCTTCCAGGTCAGCTGCCTCTCCTAGCCCCAAACGGGGAGCAGATTTTCATTCTCAGGGGTGCCATTTCATTTTGGGCCTAAATATTGCTGTCTCTTTCTAATGCAAAGTTTTTTGGAAATATTTTTATTAATTTACATTTTTATAAATTCTATTATAACAGTAATATATGTTCATGTTTTGTTTTTGTTTGTTTTTTAAAATATTTTTTAATTTATTTTTTTTAGAGAGGGAGGAAGGGGAAGGGGGTAAGGAGTGGGAGAGAAACATCAATGTGTGGTTGCCTCTCATGCTCCCCCTACTGGGGACCTGGCCTGCAACCCAGGCATTGCCCTGACTGGGAATCAAACCGTCGACCGTTTACTTCACAGGCCCGTACTCATTCCACTGAGCCACACCAGCCAGGGCTGTTCATGGTTTTAAAATTTTTTTAAAAACCAACAGCTTTGAACATCTTCATTCAGAAGCGTGACAGGGAAAAGAAATGGTCTCCCCACCCCATCACAGCCCCCTGCAGCCCCATGGTCCTGTCTCGGGGCCCTCGCCTGTCCCTTCTGCATTTTCTGGGTGCAGACAGTCACACGGTTCTCTGGCTCCCACTCTCTTCCCCCTGCCACTCCTGGGTTTATCAGTAAGTCTGTGGCGGGAAAATAATTTCTAACACATTCAGGGCTGGGGAAGAAGTCCATGCCTTAATTTTCCCCCTAATTATGACGCATGCTCTGTGGAAAGTGCAGTTTCTTGGGGAGGGGGAGTGGGGGGGCGTCCTGGTGCGAACACTGGGAATCTCCATCCTCCAGACAGGCCGGACGGCGGCAGCTGCGCCTCTAATGAGTCTGAGCAGGTCCCTGGGGCTCGTCCTGCAGCCTGGACAGCCCACCAGGGGCAGGTCTGGAGGGCAGGCTGCCTTCGCAGACATGGGGCTCACAAAGTTGGGGGCAGCCCCATGCTCATAGCGCACTCCCCGCCCCTCTGTCCCTGGAGTTCTCCTGAACCCGTTTTCGAGACTGTTTATGCTTTTGGCTTTTGTCCGCTCTGTCCCGTCCCCCCCTGTGCAGGTCAGCACACTCACCACCGCTCGGGGCTGTGAGGTCGAGCTCCTGGGCTTTGACAGCCGTGTCCACGTGCTCACTCCACTCTGTGGTGTCACAGTGTCGTTACCGACCCCTGCTCAGGCCTCACTGTCCCCACTGAAGAGGCTTCAGTTCACGCCCTGGCCTCCCAGGACAGCCACGGTCTCTTCAACTGTTTTTGTTGTTTTACGATTTTATTTCTTTATTTTTGGAGAGAGGGAGAGGGAGGAAGAGAGGTGAGAGAAACATCAATGTGTGGTTGCCTCTCGTGCGCCCCCTGCTGGGGACCTGGCCTGCAACCCAGGCATGTGCCCTGACTGGGAATTGAACTGATGACTGTTTGGATAGCAGGCCAGCACTCAATCCACTGAGCCACACCAGCCAGGGCTCTCTGATCGTTTTTTATTTCTGTTTTTGTTGCATTTCCTCCGAAGGCTGTGGGTTGTTGGTACTCTAGGCCAGAAGAGTCCCCCATCCCTTGTGTGGGGACAGTGAAAAGCCTAAAAAAATGACAGAGGAGTCACCGGAGCTTGTTGATTTTGGGTGTCATAGGTAAATGTGTTCTAGAAAATGCACTGATTCATTCAGCAGTTGTTGAACATCGGAGAACTGTTCGTCGCATGCCCCCTTTGCCTGTCTTCCTCCGCGAGGACCCGGAGGAGGTGGGCTGTGACAGACGAGGGCTGTCTGATGGGGACCCGGGCAGCAGGAGAGACCTCTGCCTGTCTTTGGAAGCGGTGCAGGAAGTAGGTGTGTCCTGTTTTCAGAAAAGGATGGAGTAGGTCCTGTCTCGAGACCCAGAGGGACCCATTTCAGGGGGAGGCAGGAGCGAGGCGTATTTTAATCCGCTGCAGCCAGTCTGTGCCCGCCTGCTGTCAGGGCCAGGACTCGGCAGGGCGTGATTTTTTACAGCTGTAAAGGAGGGATGTGGGGCCTCAGGACTGGACAGGTTCTTAATTAGGTGACTTGAGACTCCCAGTGTAGGAGTTTTGGGAGACTCCTCTGGAACCTAAATTTCTTTCTCCAAATAATGCTGTTAATACAGAAACCTGGCTGTGGAGTGACGTTGCTTCCTGGGGAAGGATCGAGATTAATTGCACTTTTCATGCCCTGTACTTTCTGCATTACCTGTAATAATAATGTACATAGATTAGGTAGGGAGGATATTAAACAGAAGGATTTATGAACATTTGAATATTAAGTTGGTTATCTGTGGCTACCTTAAATGCAAGGTTGTCAAAAATAATTACAGTATACTAGCAAATACTGGCTACCAGAGGCAATATAAATACCCTGAGTCAGTGCATATTGGGCTTTTGGCATGAATCATTTGCTCAACAAGGATTGGGAATACGTTCTTCATATTTATGAGGAGGAAATGAAAGGGAGCACAGGGTGGGGGAGGGGAGAGGGACACGCGAATTAATGGTGTCGCAGACCTACTGTAACACACCCAGCCCCCCGCGCTGGGGGCCCCACTCAGGCTGCGTGGAGCTCTGGCAGGGCAGCCTCCCATTTCATATGCATAGGAGGGTTTTTTTGATGCGCTTTTAAAAAATGGCCAAGCCACCGATGTTCTGGCTTTACAATCAGGGACATTGGTAGAGCGTTGGAGGGTGAGGTCGCGCGAAGTGGTTTGCAGTCGGCTTGTGTGAAACCCAACTTGTCGAGCAGAAGACACTTGAGAAGGATATTGATGAATATGCCCCTCCATCCGCCTGCCCCGGGCAGGGAAGCACACCCCGCTGTTAATTTCTCAGTGCAGAAAGCAGCGATGACATGGAGACGCAACTGCCGTGAAAAAAAAAAACTGTGACAGATTAGAGGAGGCGACTCTGGAAGTGGCCGATGTCTGAGAGTCAGGGTCACGGTTTGAACCCTGCCCATGGGGTTGGATCGCTCCCTCGCCCTCGAGGCTCCGCCTCCCACTCGCTGCCCCGCCCTGCACAGTGTCTCCCCAGGGCCCAGCCCCCCGGGGGTGGACTAACAGGGCGTGGGTGGCAGGCAGGGAGAGAAACGGGCTTGTGACAGCAGGGCCACCAAAGCACCAGCCAGCTTACACCTGGCACATCAGCCTGTAGTTACATTCAGAAGAATTCACTTGTGTGCTATCATATAATGTCTTTATTCATTTATGATGTATTTATTAAATATACTTTTAATGTTTTATTCACATAGTTTAGATTTGTCATCGCAGCAAATCCAATCTGATTTCTGACTTTGAGCTGTCCACCCAGTTGAAAATGTACCAGAAAACATTAATTTATTCAGCAAATAATGGCCGTGCACCCACTGTGTGCCGAGAACTGTGCTAGGCTTGGATTTACAGTCGTGGCAGGTAGTTTTGGTCCTTGGGGTTCTTTTTTTAAATTTAATCTTTATTGTATTTTTTTTCCATTACCACTCAGTCCCCTAAAGTCCTCGTGGTTCTTAAACTCTAGTGGCAAGACAGATGTTAAATAAGCTCACACATGCGCCATCATAAATTGATATGAAGGAAAACGGACAATGCCGAGAGAGAATAGGACGGAGAGTTTAGATGGAAAGAACCCCCTGGTTGGCCTTCAGAGAGTCAGTTGGCACTGGGTGGGGGCGGGGGCGCTGGCCGCCGGTGCACAGGGAGGGAGGCAAGAGCCCTTCTTGAGCCGTATGGAAACAAGGCCTGAGGCGTTGCTGCAGAGGCCACAGTGATGGCTTGGCTGTCTGGACGCTCTCGTCTGGGCTCAGGACAAAGAAGCTGAGAGTGTGCTCATGCGGAGCTTCAGGGAACACGGAGCTTCTGGGAAATGGGCGTGCAGAGGGCATTCCTAGTATCCTGGCAGGGGAGGTTTGGCATCAGAAGCCATAAGTCTTTCCTTAACTGGATCCAACTGGAGAAGGGGGGAAGTAAGCTGCAAATTACTCAGAAGATTTTAATGAACTCTCTGGGGCGGCCCCACATATTTAAGTTGTAGGATACAAATCTTTAGGGCTCGTTTGCAGCCTGAAACGAGGGCTGCAAGGGCCGGCATGTTCGCAGAGGACTCTCTCTCGCAGTTACAGACGGCCGCGTGCCGTCCTCGGAAGATATTTTTGCACTGGTTACGGAAACTGCGCGCTGTGGACCCCATACACCACCACTAAACAGGAACTTTAAGAGGCCCTGGTGCATGTAATTTTAGAAGATGCGCAATACAGAGAGGCAGCAGGGCCTTTCGCTCTGTATTTTATGATTCTGGGGATTTTACGGAATGCATCTAGCAACCAAGATGTGTGCTGATATGCAGACTGGCGATTGTTTAGGAGTGTGGTTGGTTCTCTGTTTGGTTCGGATGCAGCTCCCACCCCCATGGCTGCCCCAGGATTTTGCTTTCTAAGACCCGCTGGGTCCAAGAGCTGAGGCATCAGGCCGAGGGTTAGCCTGGTCCCGGGACATGCACTCAGCTGCCCTGTGCTGGGTCATGTCGCAAGTGTCTCCTGGCTGGGTCATCCACTGAGGCCATGTCTGAGTGAGTGGCTTTGAAGTTCTGCAGATGAAACCGCTGCCCGCGGGCCACCGAGTCCCTGTGTAACTGCTGGGGCGTGTCAAGTGCCACCTACCCTAATTCACCTGCTGTTGTAAAGCTGTGAGAGTCATTGTGTGAAATATGTATCTGGAAGCCAAGATGGCAAACCCACCACAGATGTGTTCAGATTAATAGTCTGTGTCTCTTTTCTTTTCTTCCCAAGAGTCATTTAGGGAACGTGTTAGTGGACATGAAGCTCATTGACATCAAGGACACTCTGCCTGTCGGCTTCATCCCGATTCAGGAGACGGTGGACACACGTGAGTCACCCTTTAGTACCGCTCATCTCAATGGGAGTTTCCTTCCTGCCGGTGTATTTGTAGATGTTTTAATGTGCATTTTTCTTTGGAAACATTTTAGAAGTCCTCACTGCATGCCCATGAATAAGCCCTGCAGCTTTGGCCACGTGTCTGACTTGGTTCTCCAAAGAATTTGTAGTGTTCTGGTTAGCGCCATGTCGGTGAGCAAAAGGTTTTCCTCCCCCAGCACGAGGCTCCCTGTGGAGCCAGTCACTCGGGAGTGGGCGGAGAAACTGGCGGTCTTCCGTCTCTAAGTGCTTCCTGTGTGTTGCTGAGGCCAAGCTCGGCACAGGACCCAGAAGCAAAAGGGAAAAAAATCAGAAGACGCCCAGGGAATACAAGTGCAATAATGTCCCTGTTTTGGGCTCATAGAGCTCATGAGAAAGGCCGGAACCAGAAGGACCGCAGTTAGAGTGCCAGGGTCCAACCTGAGCCCCGATCGGAGCCGAGCAGGCGGGAGGTGCTGATGAACCGGGACTTCGTCCGGGTCCTCTCATGCACGCCAGTTACTAAATAGTGCCCGCAGACCCTTGAGCATCTGAGCCGCCTCCTTTTGGTGGGAAAGCACCTGTTTTGTTTTTCCTTACGCTCACCAGCTAACTCAGGATGCACACACAGTGAGGAGTACATAAAACAAGCCCAGAGTCTCCTTTCCTCGTGACGCACAACTTCCTTATGAAGGTCTGTCTCATTCTGTGTCACACTCACTGGATTTTTCCACAGTTAGCCCCATTTTGGACCCACTATTTTTGCTGGGTTGTTTTTTATTTTTTTGCTAGCATTTCATGTAGACTGGACTTTCCATATCTGCATAGACCCCACATAGCTCTTATTTTAGTGAAGCAAGTGGGCTCCGTTGCCTAGCCTATTTTCATTCTTTAAAATAATCTCCTTACTTTTGGATATTTTGCTTTTACTTTTATGATATGCATTAGCTAATAATTGCAATAGCTCATCTTTAGTATGTATTTTCTGTATGCTGACCCTTGTGATAAATGCTTTGAGTAACTGATACCATTGAATCTTCAGAAGACCCCCTACTTGGAAATGGATGGTATTAAACCCATTTCATATATGCAGTGAATGAGGTGCAGTAACTACTTAGGGATTGAAAAATTTTTCCAAGGTCATGCAGCTGGGGCAGGGAGTAACTACAACACACACACACACACACACACACGGCTGCCACCAGCCCCACTTTTAACTCGTGTCACTGTGTAAAAGCATGTGTTTAAGCCCCTTCTACAGAAAGACTTTATATGCTTCTGTATGAGGGGTTTTTGATAACAGCTTTATTGGATATAATTCACATACCATACAATTTACTCATTTAAAGTATGCAAATTAGAGGTTTTTAGTATGTTCACAGAGTGTTGCAACCATTACCACAATCAGTTTTAGAACCTTTCATCCCCCCACCCCCAAAAACCCGTCCCCATTAACAGTCACTCTTCGTTTCTCTCCAACCCCCTGCCACCCCAACCCCAGGCAGCCAATCACCAGCCCTCTTTGTCTATGGCTTTGCCTGTTCAGGACATTTCACTAAGTAGAAGTATGCAGTGGTGATCTTCCCTGCCTGGCTTTGTCTACTTGGCATGTGTTTTCAAGATTCATCCATGTTATGGCGTGTGTCAGTACTTCATCCCTTTTTATGGCCAAATAATGCACCATTTCTGGGAATATGCCGCCCTCTGTGTATCCAAGTGGTGGATACTTGGGCTGTGTCTGCTTTTGGCTGCCACGAACCCTCATGTACAAGGTTTTGTGAGGATGTGTGTTTGCATTGCTCCTCGGCACGTGCCCAGGCACAGAACTGCCGGGTAGTCTTCTCTCTGCGTAACTTTTTGAGGGGCTGCCAAGCTGTTTTATGAAGGAGCAGCGCCTTCGCCCACTTCCACCGGCAGTGCGTGAGGGTCCCGGCATCTTCACGTCCTCAGCAGCTCACGTCGTCGCCGTGCTTGGTGGTCCCGGTCCTCCCAGTGGGTGCGATCGGTCCCTGCTCGTGGTTTTGATTTGTGTTTCCTATTAGCTAAGGATGTTGCACACCTTCTCCTGTGCTTGTCGGCCCCTTGTGTGTCTTCTCCGGAGAAATGTCTCTCCTGATCCTTCGCCATTTTAAAGTGGGTCGTCTTTGTGTTATTGGCTACGAGACCGTTCTAATTACAGTGGCCCTTGAACATGGGTTTGCACTGTGTGGGTCCAGTTGTTTGCAGATTTTTTCCAGTAAGTACTGAAACTGTGTTTTCTGTCCTTGGTGATTTTCTTAACACTCTCTTTTCTCTAGCTTACTTTATTGTAAGAATACAGTATATAATACATGTAACATACAAACTATGTGTTAATTGACAGTTTATGGTATTGACAAGGCTTCCGTCAACAGCAGGCTAATAGTAGTTAAATTTGGGGGGAGTCAAAAGTCTTACCTGGATTTTTGGCTGTGTGGAGGGTTGGTGCCCCTAACTTCTGCATTTTTTCAGGGGTTAACTGTGTTCTAGATGTAAGTACTTTATCAATTGTATGATTTGAATATTTTCTCCCATTTCACTTTCTTGGTGGGTTTTCATTTCACTTTCTTGGTGTCCTTAGAAAAGTTATTTTTTAATTTTGATGGAGTCCATTTATCTATTTTTCCCTTTTTTCTGCTTATGTTTTTTGGTGCTACACTTAAGAAACTGTTGTGAAATCCATGGTCACCAAGATTTACGTCTGTGCTTTCTTCTAAGAGATTTATAGTTTAAGCTCTTACATTTGTGTTTTGATCCATTTTGAGTTAATTATTGTGAGTGCTATGAGATAGGACTCCACCTTTATTCTTTTGCATGTGACTAGCCATTCGAATAACCATTCCTCCCCCCACTGATTTGTCTCAGCATCCAGATGATTGTGTTGAAATCCAGGTGACCGTAAACGTGAGAGTTGGTTTCTAGACTCTGAGTTCTCTTCCACTGCTTTGTTTGTCTGACATATGCCAGTCCTGACTGTTGTAGCTTTGTAGCAGGTTTTGAAACTAGTCCTCCAATTTTTCAAGATAATTTGGCCATTCTGGGTCCATTGACTTTTTATATAAATTTTAGGACTTGTCAATTTCTGCAGAGGCCAGCTGGGATTTTGGTAGGAATGGTGTTGAATCAGTAGATCAGTTTGGGGATGTGTAGGTTTTGAGTGACTTGTGATAGGTTTCCAAGCACTTGAGGCCACTGGGCCCTGGGCTCCCTGTGTTCTGCCGCCAGCCTTCCCCTGCAAACATGTCCTTCATCTGCCAGCAGCTGTACTTGACCCAGACAGAGCCACCGACTTAACGCTCTCCGTGTCCTTTCTTTTCTGACTGCGTATTTGCTTTGCTCTTTTCCCTGCCTGCAGTGCCCTTTCCCTCAACCCTGAATATCCATGCCCGTCTCTTTCAAGGGTGAGCCTGAGTTCTCTCTCCTGCGTCAGACAGTCTCTGGTGTGAAGCAGGCTTTCTCTCCCTTCCACGGCCAGCTAAGATTGACGAGTGCCTAGTGGGCACGGCGGGCTTTGCAATGTAAAGGTGACTAAGATACTGGCCCTTTCTCCAAGTCTAGTCTCCTTAGTCTCGTGGGTGGCCTGGACCTGAACACAAGGCATTACAGCACAGTCGTCACACCTGACACGGCACACATTTGTGGCAGGGAGGGAGGGAAGGAAGCCCATGCAGGTGACAGTGGTGGGAAGCCAAAGGTAGTGATCCATTCTGCGTCTGAAGTCCCGGCTTTACCTCTGTGAGGACGGAGTGCAGCTTGTGTGGTGGAGAACTTGGGCTCTGGAGTCAGACTCGCCTCATAGTGGGTCTGGCTCTGCACTTACAGCTGTAGGACTTTACCCTCCCGGGCCTCAGTTTCCTCATCTGTAAAGTGGGGAGAATATTTCTGCCTCATAGTAATGTTTGCAGATTGCATTTCAGCCATTTACGTGTTTTCTTCATGTCTTTGCTACTTATCTCTCTCTTTGAGGGCAAGATCCGAGTTTAATCTCTCCTGGACCCACCTAAGGGGTGGGCTCCATAAAGATAAGCTTCATTACTCTCTGTTGCCAAATTAACTTCCAGAAATGCCAGTTCACAGTGCCACTAGTGATTCGGGCTTGCACCTGTTTGCCACAGACCTACCAATGCAGGTTTTTAATTTTTTATTTAGTTTTGTTCTCCAATTTTATTTAATTTTCACTTCGTTAATAGCAAAACTGGATGCTTCACAGTGTTGGCTTGCTACTTCCAGAATTACCACTGCTAATCCTTACATGGCTTGTCTGCTGGAGAACTAAAATTGCAGACTTGCATTAATTTCCCACTTCCCCTATGTTTTGTTTGTTTGTTTGTTTTAGAATTTGCATTGGCATTCATTTTTGACAACTAACTGACTTATAATACCTTTATATTGATACACTGTAGAGCCATAAGGGGCTTCCCATTCTGCACTTGCCTCTCGTTGAACCAGTTAAGCAAGGAAGGCCAGAGCGGATGGCTGTCTGGGCCGTGGCGCAGCTGCCGTGCGTGACCCTGTGTAGGGATCGGGGTGGGCAGCCTTTCCCCGTGACTGGGGCACGTGGGTTGCTGTGCTGTGGGCTTTCAGAGGTTGTCCTGGCATCTCCAACAGGTTTCTTATCACACAAGGAGGGTGGGTGTAGGGTGGCCTCTTCATTTCGTGTCCTACGGTCATTTCCTGGAGCCTTTACCCAAGAGAGCCCCAGCTGACCACATAAACCTCTGGTCTGCTCTGTGCAGTCGAGCGCCCATAAGGCCCCGATTTTACAAAGTCAGCCAAAAAGATGAGGCTCCGGTAATTAATTTAAAACACAGTTTGTTGCAATCCATATAGTACTTAAAAACTGGAAGACTGTTTGCTTTAGCCAAGTGCCGTGTCTTCGCTCTGTGTTCCCCAGCGTGACTGAGCGCGTTGCTATGGACTCTGGGTAATGTGTTTACTTACCATTAGGCCTGGCGAGGCGCAAGCAGTCAGCGGCTCCGTCTCCTGCCCGAGTGTTCTGTAGCCAGAGGAGTGGAGCAGAGAGCAGCCTGGCAACAGCCAGTGAAAGACCTGCATTTTCCTCAACTCCCGGGACAGTTCTGGCTTTCTCACACTGTCAAAAGCCTGATCTTCCCAGGGTACAGGGCCGCTCTGAATGGTTTCCCCCAGGAAACCACCCTGCCTCTGTGGGGACAACGTGTGGGGTCTGGATTTAGGACATTGTCACTCTGGCTCGTAGCTCTGATCTAGTTCCATCACCCAGGAAGAGAACCCACAAAGTTTCCTCATTCCCACCTGGCTCTTGTAAAAACAGTCCCCCCATTCAACAGGAAGGCAGCACCCCAGATTCTGGTCTCCCCCTGGGAAAGTCTCGAACAGCGCAGGCCTGCCCGTTCCAACTCCCTGCCCCCCTCCCCGCCCCTTTGTTTGGATGTGCTCATCTCCTGCCCCGGAACTGGAAGGTCTTGGAGGTCAATGCCAGACCGTGGCTTACGTGATGTGTGCTCGTAACAGGGATGGCCGCTCATGGCTGCTCCTCACTGAGCCACTTACGTGTGCCGGGCACTGGGCTATCGAAGGTGCCTGTCACCCCACGTCACCCGCCCTGTGTCTGCGTCCCCGTGGGGCGGGGTCCTGTTAACTCCCTCCACAGATAACAGAACTGAGGCTCAGACACACTGAGGCCCAAGTGCAGGAAAGCAGCCGGGCCGGGATTCCAACCTGATCCCTCTGACCCTTGTAGTGGGTGACTGCAGGTGACTGAAACGCGTGTTCAGAACCCACAGAGAAGCAGATGGACGGACCCCTGGTCGGTAGGCGCTGCAGGCTGCGAGGGCGCCGACCCTTCACTCTTAACACTTGATAAATAAAAGAATCACGGATTTATCTGTTTTTTCCTATATGAAGCATATTTCAGAGAGATCAAGTAGTTGAAGAGAAGTTGTTTGTTTAGATAGAAGAATTCCTGCTGATAAAGGCAGAAGGAAGGACAGATTTACCAAATCACCGCTTTGAACCCTGCACTGAAAGGGCAGGTCTGGGTGGCAATTGTCAGGGGAAGCGAACCCTGCTCGGCAATCGGTTGGGGGGACTTCATCACAGGGGCAGCGGGCCGACACCCCTGGAAGCCAGGGGCAGAGCTGGATGCCCTGACTCATGATATGACGTCCAGGACTGCCTGTGAAGTGTTTTTGCCTAAAAAATCTTACCCTGAATCTCGTTGAGCCTCCAGCCAAAACTGCCAGTTCTCAGGAGGAACAGGGGAACGGCTCAGTTTCTCCAGCTCCCAGTGCCCTGAAGGCAAAGGGGGGGGGTGGGACAATGTCTCTCAGAATAAAAGGGACTTAAGAGACCTAACCACCAAATTCAGACAGACCAGCCATTAAATGGCATTTTTGAGATAAGAGAGGAAACTTGAATATAGACTATTTATCAAATGATATTAAGGAATCATTGTTTGTTTTGTTAGGTGTGCTGATGGCATGGTGGTCACATAAAAAAAATTGTCCTTCATGGCTGCACACCGAGCCATCTGATGGGTGGCAAGACACAGTGTTAGAGACTCCTTTTAAACTCTGCAGTCAGACTACGGGGGCTGCGGGGGAGGGGGACCAGCCTGTCCGTTTTCGGCAGCGCTGGAACGAGGAGACGGGAACGTGTGGATTCGTGCACTTTGGGGAGTGTTTCAGATTTTCTACAATGAAAAAAAGTCAGAAGGAAGAGACTCCGTGTGACAAAACATGTTAATACTCAGGGCGTCCACGCGTGTGGATCTGGAGCAGGGAGCGAGCTGTGGTTGTGGCTTTTGGAAGCCAGCCGACAGGTTCATTCCAGGCGGCTTCTCCTTGCAGAGGTGGGCAGGCCCCCGGGAGCCCCCCTTCCCAGCAGCGACCGTCCACGGTCAGGTCTCTGCAGGCCCGTGCACTGGGGGCCTGTGGAGGGCGGGAAGGGCACAGCCCGCCCCTCTGCCGTGCACTCTGAGGACTCCAGGCCGGGATGTTTCGGGAGGCGCGGTGCTCCTAACAGAGACTCGCTCACACCTTTCCTTGTCCTCTCCCTCAGAGGAAGCCGCTTTCAGAAAGAAGAGGCTGTGCATTAAGTTTATCCCTCGGGACTCCACGGAAGCCGCCGTCTGCGACATCCGGGTCACGGGCCGGGCCAAGCAGGCCCCTCCCCAGTACACGTTCATCGGGTGAGTCTAGGAGCCCCGGAGCTCATCCCCTCTCCCTGCCCAGAGTGCGCAGGCTGCTCACTCGGGGGACGGGCACTGAGGCCGCGAGGCTGCCCCTCCCACCTGTGCCCCAGCCAGTGCCAGTAGCCATGCTGTTGACCCCTCCGAGCGTTTGTTCATGCCGCCTGCTGCAGCCCAGGGTCCCTCCATCCCCTCGTCCCGTGTGTTTATCTGTGGGGCTCTGTGGGTCTTTCCAGATGCCCGGAGGCCCAGGCATTCTCTCCTTTGCAACTGCTGGGCCTCAGCTCTTTCCACACTTCACTCACCCCTCACGTTTGTCCACTGGGCCAAAGACCCTGGACAGGTGGTGACTGAGGCAAACAAAGAGTCTGCTCTCACAGAGTCTGTGTTTGAACAGGAGGGAGGAGCAACAAACAGAATTAATAATCAGGTCATTTTAGCGAGCAATGAAAATGAGACAGGGGCTCAGTCCCTAGGGGTCAGGAAGGTGAGGTTTGAGCAGGGCCCTCAAGCTCAAGAAGAGACCCGCCCTGCAGAGAGTTGAGGGCAGGGCCTTGTGGGCAGAGGAGAGGGAGCAGGGTCCCGTGGGAATGGGCGTGGCATGCCCAGCGTGGCTGGGGTGGGTGAGCGGGCAGGCTCTGGGTGAGGGCAGCAGCTGGCGGGGCCCCGCAGGACGTGGCGGCAGTGTGGGCTTATTCCAGGGCACTGGGTGCTGCTGGAGGACTGAGTCAGGGAGACGTGGTATTAGCACACGGCCACGTGATCATTCCTCCTGTGGAGTTTTGGTCTGATGGTCCCCCTCCCAGATGAGCAGAGGGCTGGGCCTGCGGTGCCGTGTTCTCCCAGTAGCCTTGGTCCTGGGCATAGGCCTGGCTCTGAAGCCACATCATAGATACGACGAAGTACAAGGAAAAGAGCACTTTGGGCTCTTGAGTGTCAGTGACAGGAAACCCAACCCAGGCTGGCTTAAGCAGAAGAAAGAAATTGTTGGCTGACGTCACAGCAGAGTCCAGGGGCAGGTTGGCTTCAGGTATGGCTGGAAGAAGGTGCTGAGAGCACATCACTAGGATCTGCTTTCCCCCTCTCCTCCCTTTTCTGATTCTGTGGTGGGGGGACCCCATTCCTACATACATTTGACTCAGTGGAGGATTGGTGGCCCTGTCCATTTACCTACTTTTCCTCCAGGTTCAAGTCCCAAGGCAAAGAGCAAGTCTGTCTTCTCGATAATTCAAACAGGAGTTCTAGAATTCAGTCTCATTGGTCTTGATTGACCTCACTGGGGTGCTGTGCAACCTGAACCCGACACTTCCATCTGGAAAGTGTCCTTCTTTCTTTCAGGCCTGAGTCGTTGGAACTCAAGGACCAAGAATGGGGGGGGGGGTGGCTGCCCCCAAGATACAGAGGGGAGGTAAAAAGTCAGAATGGGGAGTGAATGGATGCTGGGTGTCCTAAAGACAATGTATGTCCATTCTACTCAGTCATCCGAAGTTCAGGTCTTCCCAGCGCGGGAGGTGGTTTCGGCCTCTCTCCCCAGCTGGCTTTGCAGGCGCCTCGCTCCACCCTGCAGGTCCCACAGATGAGTTCTCCTGCTCGGCTTTTGAGGTCGGCCTTCGGGATCTGGTTCGTGTTCTGTTTTGCTCCTCGTTCGTGTTAATCCAGACCCTCCTCTTCACTCTGAAAGCCAGGGCCTGTCCCTGCAGGCCTGACATGGGCTCGGTGATCAGCATGAGCTGCGGCGTTGCCGCAAGTGCCAGGATGGCCGGCGCCACACACAGACACTGTTTCCATCCTGGTGCCGAGCGTGTCCTCAAGAAGGACTCCATGGTCATTCCCTTCCTGCACACTCAAGATGCTGTTTTGCCACAGGATTTAATTGATTATGTGAACAGGAATAGCAAATGGTTGAGAATAAGCACATTCAGTTGCCTTAGAAGTAGTAGAAGCCAACAATTTAATGATGAACCTTTAAAGTTTAATTTCAGTTAACTGTGTATTTTTAATTACCATACAACTTTAAAAAGATTCAATTAACCAATTTAAAAAATTCTGAAGAATAGACCCTTACCATAGATGTATGTCTTAATAATAATCGAAACTAGAATCTTCTTTTTTATATCATTTTGAAAAGATTGCTAAGTAAAGTATATTTTTATTTCATCTTGGGGCAAAAATTCTTTTCTAGAGGCAGACAATTTCAATGTTATTTTTAAGTAAGGAACGAATCCAGTTCAGAACTCTAGGTCACGTTTTCTTAAAAACGGGCACAATTCTGCACGTTACTCTGCAAGGGTTGGGTGGTTGGCTCAGAGACGGAAGCCTCGGAGCGAGAACGGCTCCGCCGCGGCCTGACCCCGGAGCCCTGCCGAGCGGCAGTCGGGTCGGTGCAGCCGCAGGAGCCAGCCACCCATCTAATGAGGTGTGAGTGTGGTTTCCAGTCGTCCCCGTGGTGTACTGAGAAGCTACTAGAAGTATCCCCTCGAATACATCTGCTCTCATGTTTTATAAAGAGATGATGATATTCCTGTATATCCCAAGGTACAGTTCTGGGGGGCCGTTCAGAAGTCGTAAGTTAGATACAGGTGAAATAATCTCGTTAACAGTTCCTCAGAACAAACCCCTCTCATAAGTGCTCGTGGCCGTGGTGCGCAGCCAGCTGAGCTGGGCAGGCACGTCACGTCCCAGGCGCCTTTGTGTCCAGGCCAAGGGGGCACGTGCCCGTGGTCGGAAGGTGTCTACCCAGCTGGCCCTGAGAATGAGGCCGACGGCCGATGACACGCGGCTGTAAGGAGCTCCCCCCTGACGCTGGGGCCTGTCCAGGAGGCAGGGAAGGGGAGCTACTTTTCCACGCTCGGGAAATGCCAGCTCTGGGTGGCGAAGCAGAGGCCGTGCCATAAAGGCCTGCCTAGTTGGCACAGCTGCCCTCATATTTAACTGTGACCCCCCCCCAGCACAGAGAGGTGATGTCACCAGTCTGTGGCAAGGACTGATTCCCTGGTGTTTGAGGCTGTGATTCTTCAAGGAGCTGGTTGGCCGCATCGCTTGGGTAAGTGCCGTGTGCTGCACAGTGCTGTGAAGATCTCTCTCTTCTCCCAAAGGGAACTCAACAGCATGGGGATCTGGTACCGCATGGGCAGAGTGCCAAGGAATCACGACTCCTCTCAACCCACGACGCCTTCCCAGTCATCAGCCGCCTCCACCCCAGCCCCCAACCTTCCCAGGTGAGGCCTTGTCCGTGGCATCCTGCGCTGCCGTGCATGCTGCCGTCGCACAGTGCGGGCTGGTAGAGCTCTTCCGCGTAGCTTCTGCTCAAATAGTGCAGAAGCAGTGCACCTCTGGAGGGGGTTTTAAAAGTCCAATTAGAAGTCTTCCTGTTACTTGAATGTAAAGGCAGTTCTGTGTTCTGTACTGTGTGTATTCGGGAGGCTCCGAAAATAGCCGCATACGCAGCTTTAAACTGGCTGGCTGCTCCGAGGAGCTCCCGCTGCATACACACAGGCCCCGCAGCCACGTGGTTGGGGGCGCTGGCTGGGAGAAGGGGGTGTTCCTTTTCTTCCTTGGGCAGCAGCTCACTGGAAACCCAGGAGGGCTGGTAAGTAATTATGTTCATTCGTATATTGCTTCTTTCCCCAGTGAGCATCAACTAAGAAAGGAGTAGTTTGAATATGAGACGATAGTGAGAAATTTTTCAGGGGCTGTGTCTGTTTGGTTTTGTATTTTAAACATTTTATTTATTTATTCTTAGAGGAGAAGGGAGGGAGGAATTGAGGGAGAGAAACATCAATCAGGTACCTTTCGCACACCCCCAAACGGGGACCTGGCCTGCAACCCAGCCAGGTGCCCTGAGTGGGGATTGGATCGGCGACCTTTCGCTTTGTGGGACAACGCTTAGGCAGCTGAGCCATAGCAGTCAGGGCTCGGGGATGTGAATTTTAACCACTGCTTCCACAAAGAGCTCCCTCCGACCGATTTAAGCTGTCACAGAGGTAGAAACGGTCTCCACACTTCCTGTGAGAAGCAGGTGGGAAAAAGAGTCCCGTCACCTGAAAAAACTCCAACACCACTAGCAGTGAATTATTTGAGGACAAGGAACAAACAGCAGTGATGGATTCAGTTTGAGGAAGGGATTGTAAGAGCAAGTAAAACAAGAAAGAATTGGTGAGGCAGCATCGTTCAGGGACTGATGCCACATAAATGAGAATGAATCTAGAAGCTTCCACATGGGTGACTGGAGGTGAACAAGGTGTGTCGGGAACAGGACAAAACAGTCACTGCCGAGTTCCCCCTGCTGACCTCCACAACCCATGCCTCGCCCTCCCGGAGGTGCTGAGGGTGGTGTTGCCGCTGGCTCTGCACCCCGTTCTCTGAGCATCTACCTCTCTCGGAAGAAGGCGTTGTCGGGAGCCAGCAGCTCAGAGGGCTCTCTGTTCGGGACATTCCCCACACAGATGATGCGGGCTTCCTCCTGACAGCCTCACAAACCAAGGGAGGGCCTCAAACTTAGCTAACCCTGGAATCGCACAAAACATCAGAAGCAGTCTCTTTCCTGTGATAGGGAAAGATACGAAAAGCCAATGAGCTTCCCAGAGTTGCAGGTGGGGCAGCTGAGAATCTGTTTGGTTTAGGCTCGTTTGGTCCTTTCTCACTACCCAGAGCTCTGTCACAGCTGGGATCACTGTCACCTGTGCTCGGGGTCAGCTCAGGCCCGTCACCTGTGGTCAGGGTCATCTTAGACTCATCCCTGGAGTAGTTAACAGCTGCTCCCTGTTGACATGATATGGCTCAGAAGGTCCTAGAAATGGACACCACCTCGGGCAGGCTTTACCTCTCTGTCGGGTGAAGAAAGAGCACCGATTCCCCGGAAGGGGGCAGCTGGGGGTACAACACAGTCAGGTGCCGCCGAAGAGAAAGGCCCGAGAACCCAGGCTGGGGGGGCTCCGGGCGGAACTGGAGGTAGTGTTTATAAGGCTTATATAGTTTATAACCTCTTGTTGTACAGTTTATGGTTTACAATGGTTGCAAGGAAATTGGATCAGTTTTGTTTTACTTGCCAAATAAAACAAATGTCAAAATAGTCAATATAAAATGTATTCTAATTTGGTTGAGTTAAGTCAGCCAGTATGCAGTAGGATAATTGAATGTTACATTAACGCTTCCCAGTAAAAACCACTCGTCTGCCCCAAGCTCTCCTCTCGCTGTGCAGTGATTTGCAGGGGCACACGCACCTACAGGAGCCTCATCGGGGGAGCAGGGCTTGTGCCTTTGGTTTTTATATTGTTTTCTTATCCAGTGTCTTTGATTTTTTAAAAAAATGAAATGCTGACTATTCAGATCTTCCATTGAAGATTTATGAAACAGTGAGTATGGTACTTTATTCCTTGAGGCTCAGGTCTTGGTAATCTCCCCTGCTGAGGAATCTGACAGCTTTCTCTCTGGCAGTGGGCTGGGCGGTCCTTGTGTTTCCAGCATGGCGGACGGGCCCTGCCGGGGACCCTGGGAGTGGAGGCTCCCGTCACGTCTGCTCTTCTCTCCCATCCCCGAGCCTCACACTTCAGTCTGAACTGGTAGCCTCTTCTTCCCTTCCTGTTCCGTGCTTCTGTGTCTTTGCTTGTGTGGACACCTGTGCATCAGCCGTCTCACATCCCTGCCTTAGATAGCAGCTCAAATGCCTCCTCTTGCAGGAAGCCTTCCCTGAACATGGTAGTGCTGAGCCTGTGCCTGGGCTCTCTTTTCTGAGCGCCTCTCCGCCGTTATGCCTTCACTTTGTGTTGTGGTCATGTTGTGACCTTCCTGAGGACTTGGGGTGGGGGGGCTGTGTCCTGTTATTTCCCAGCACTTGGCTCAGATCCAGGTGTGTATTCAGTTTTGCAAAAACGCTTCTCCAACAGCCTAAGACCTCACGTTGCTTTTCCCCCATCCCCATGACTCCCAAGCCCCTGAGCAATCCTGGAGGTTTTTCTGATGATGACTGTAATACAAACTTGTAGAAAATTGACAGGGAATAGGAAACAATGGACCCACAGAAATCCCATTTCCAGTGAGCTAAGGTGCATAACCTTGGATGTTATTCCCTTCAAGTCATTTTTCTGTGTACTTTTTACATAGGTGATATCACGTAAGAGCAAGTTTGTGTTTTGCTGCTGCTTTGTCCTGTAGTGTTGAACCACAAGCATAAGAAATACTTCTTCAAGCACGGTCTTTGTGTTGGGCACCTGGATCAGGCTGCTGGGCAAAGGCTGAGTGAGAGTGTGGTGATGCAGCGCCCTCTGCTGACCAAACTGGGGGCGGCAGTGGGGACAGGCCCTTTTCCCAGCAAACCCCTTGTGGGGACTGCAAGGGAACAAGGGGGCTGGGCCAGGAGCAGACCTATTGCTTTCTTGGGCTTGAGCCCTCATCTGGAAGGCTAAGATTGTGCGCTCTGCCTCCGTTTCCTGTGTTGTTACTCATTGCAAGGAATTCCCTGCCAGTTTTTGGAGAGCTCTGATCCCCAGCTCCACTCAGACAAAAGGGACAGTTGGCAGCCTTTTCAGAGATAATGGGTGGTCACCAGAGAGCCTGCTGGTCTCAGCAGAACTGCCTTCTCTTTCCGGAGGACAAGCGCTTCCTGCCCGTGTCCCTCCTGTGGCTGCAGAGTGTGCTAGCTGTGGGCCAGAGACCACGGTGTCCCCTCACAGCAGGCAGGGCCTGCCCTTGGCTGTATCTGGTGAATTGGACGCAGTGTTTGGTGATGTTTGTGGCAAAAGACGGGATTAGATGTTCCTTTAGACATTGAATTAGATTTAGGTTAGAGCTCCTCTTCCTCACTCTGTGAACCTTTATCTCACACACAGACATCCCCGCACACGCCTCTGCGTTTCCGAGTGAAGAAGGTTATGCCACTTCTTCCAGGAGCTCGGAGCCTCCGTCCTGTCTCGGGGTCAGCGCCGCTCTGCCCTCTGCCCACCCACCGCGTGCAGCTTGGTCAGCAGGACTGCGCTGGCCTCCGGGCTGCGGCGCCGGCTCCCTGTGGACCCCTCACCTTCTCTCTTCTGGGCTGGCCTCAGCTTTTCTTTCTTTTAAAAAAACAAATGTTTTTAATCCTTACCCGAGGACATTTTTTTTATTGCTTTTAGAGAGAGAGAGGAAGGGAGAGAGAAACATGGATTCGAGGGAGAAGCACTGATTGGTTGCCTCCCATATCAGGGATCGAACCCCAGCCTTTTGGTTACGGGACGACACTCCAACCAAGCGAGCCACACTGGCCAGGACTGGTGCAGCTCTTCTGATTCTCTTTTGTGCCTCTGCCTCGGGTCAGGGTGCAGCTTCAACCAGATCGGCCCTTCGCTCCTCTCTCACACTCCGGATCTCACTGATGATTCTGCTGGGAAGAAAAGGTTCTGCTGCTGCCAATAGTGAGGTTTGGAAAAGCCCTGGGAGGCAGTGACGGTGCACCGACGGTAGCCCTGTGCATGGATGAATGGGAGGCCTGTGTGGTCCCGGCGGGGGCTGCTGGTGGGACACGTGTAAAGTAGATGCTCCCCCAGCCTGCTCCAGTGCAGAACCAGTGGCTTGATAAAGACATCAGAAGCATGCTCATCAAATTTGCAGATGACACACAGTCATTAGGGAGAGCGGGAGTTCTGAACGACAGAATCGATCCCCCGCCCTGGCTCCTCCACAGCTCGAACACCCTGCGGGAGCCAGGAGATGGGAGGTGCTGGACAGCCAGGGGCAGGGCCTCCTGAGGTTCAGACCGTCGGCTGCACAAAAACCCAAGTGAGAAGACTTGACTAAGCACTGGTTCGTGCAAAACGACCCGGCGTGAGCATAGGTTGTGTGGAATGCAGCCTGGTGTGTGCAGCGGGGCACACCCCCTCGGGCAGCATCCCACACCTGTGAGCTCTAAAAGGGTCACGCCCACTGCCACGTACTACCTTGTAAGAGTTGCCTGACTCACATGCATGTGAGTAGGAGACTTAAATAGTGTTTGCAGGTGGGGATGGGTCATTGGAAGCCCCAGAGGCAAAATTAGATCAGCTGGACTGAAGTTGTAAGGAGGTAGGTAGATGTGGGCTTAATTAACATTTTAAAAAACGAATAAGAAAGCTTCCCAAAAGTAAAAAGCTGTGGCTTTGAAGAAGCCCACTTGAGAGGTCACACATTCCCAGCTGCGGGCAAGTCACGCAGCATTTGGACCCTTCAGACTGGAAGAAATGTGTCGTCATCCCTGTCCCCAACCTCA